GACATGTTCATGACCCCCAAACCCAGCCAACAGCCAACCAGCTAGTTCACCATCCACCCCCTGCTTGCCCTCCAACCCCTCTCCTTCCCGTGCACTGAGCGGCGCTGCTCAACCGGAACCGCCGGTTCAGGCGGTTCCGCCGAAGCTTTTGCCACCAGAGATCTTTGAGACTGGGCCTGTCGCAAGCATGGAGGACGGGTCGACCAGTCGCAAGCGTGGGTCGGTCCACGAAGATAGACAGTGTCGACCCGCAACCTCAAAGCATCCATGTATGGAATAGGTACATGTTACATGGCCCTGGCCCTAATGTAGGTAACTATTCCAGACATGGATGGTCTTGGGTATACTCAAACAAGATTGGATTGCACTTCGAAAGACACGATCGAATGCAGCGAGGAGCTTTTCTTAGCTTTGGATGTCAGTGGAGATGGCGAAGTGAGCCAGAGAGAGTTTCTTAGCCATTGATCCAAGGGGGCTTGGAGGGCAGGACAACTTGGAAGTTTTGTTGAGCCACATGTGGGATTCTTCTAACTTCTAGGTTGCTCTTCTTCATGGAAGGTTGCAGCACATGGCCATGGGCCATGCTCGGCCAGCTGGCCATTCGTCCAAGACACCGGTGACTCCGACACCGTCGAAGGGATGGGCAAGCGTCCACCGGCCCACAGATGGGCGAGTAGACTCAGTAGACGTTGCAAGCTCAGTAGACTCAATAGACGTGAAAGTGACACACAAGATGTGTGAAAGAACATGTTCACGGTGGAAATGAGAATTTAACCGGACGGGTGAAATGTGAACATGTTCATAACTTGTATAGAACCTTTCCATGATTTTGTTTGTGTCTTAGAAGAAACGCCCTGTGAAATAACAAATAAAGTAACCGGACGTCGTTCTCGACACGCCGACACGCCCAAGAGTCGCCGACACGCCGTATGCGACCAACGCATCGACGACTCCAAGGTTTCTGGATGGCCTGCTGAATGTTTTCATCGCAGGAGTACCACTGCAGGCGGTGCAGACCATTAAGTTACTCTACAAGAGCCACGGTCGACCGAAGGGCGGGAGGGAGCGCAAGGCTTTTGTACTAGGGATCTGGGATCGCTTGGATTTGATAGATGATATACAGTAGAGGTGGTGGAAACGGATCGCACAAATCTGAGTTTGTTTTGTGGGTCTTCTTTGGGGGCCTATTTTTGGGTGGTCATTGGACCAGTTTCATAACGGATCAATGTTCACCAGGTGTTCATCTGGGTTTGACCAGGTTGCATGAATCGCTTAAATTTGGTTTGACCCATCGTCGCATACCACAGTAAGCCATAGAATAGATGTAGAGTGCATCTCCAGATGCAGTGGATGATATATGGGCTATGGTACTGAATCTGACATGCAGATGCATGCAAAACACTTTCAGCTTCCAATGAAAGGAGTGCCCGGTTCATTCACAAACGTTTGTTTTGTATCAAATAACTACCGCAAGGTGTTTTGCCATTTCCATCAGTAGGAGACACCGTGCAATGCAAAACCATGCAAAACCACTAGTAGTTGTTTTACCAGACGGAGAACAGGCTTCCAGACAATATGTTTGCATGTTGAAAGAATGTGAATGTTCAAATGTCAAAATAAGGCTCATCCCGTTGCGTCCGCATCGTGTTTTTCAGCAGGTTTGTCCAGCTTGCAACCTTGTGGAAACTGAGCGTGGTTCCAATTCCTCTACAGAAGAATGGCTCGCCTCCAACCTAGTAGCAATGGCCTCCAACCAACTTGCGATAACCTAGAAGCATGTGAATATTTTGGAGCAAATTTCGGCCGAAAACAACCGCCGCCGCTTTGATCGCCTAAGGAATGAACACCAGATCCACGAGCTGAAAGAGGAGACCGGGTTCGTGGGTGATGGTATTGATGGGTTGAAGAAAAAGCCCACACCTCTTCGGCCAAGGGCGGCCAAGGGGAAAGGACACCCCTTAAAAGCCTCACACTGTAAACATTGACGTCCAGGGAATGCCCTGAGAGATCAGGCTGACGGGTCCACATGTGTCGAATGTGGCTATACGAAGGACACCTTCATCGTGGTCGAACGGATCAGTTTCTGACTCAAACGGAAGAGATATGATTGTGGTTTTCGCTGCTTTTGTGGCTTTGTTTGGTGGTCTTGGGAATGTTTTATTGTACCAGGACCAATTGCGACTTCCAGTTTTGCACAAATTCTTTGGTGCTGTCAGCTGTCCTCATTATTCTGTAATTTACAATAGCGTTACAATGCCTTAGAGACATAAACTGCAACTGTAGCACTGTAACACTGTAGCGCTACACAGGTGTGACGCTTTTATCCGTATCCGCATCCTCATGCTGTGTGGTCAAAAATGACCTCCAACCTCCAAATCCCTCAAACAATCGCTGCAAGACTGCTTCTGCCGCGGCCTGCTTGAAGTTACTTGGGTTCCGTATGTGCAGGACCTGCAGCACTTGATGGCGTACCTCTACAAATCTTTGGAGCGACCGGTGATGACTGTTTGAACGGTTGAAAGCCCTTCCACCACTCGCAGGCACCCGGGTAGACGATCAGAGAAATGGGGAGGCGCCATTCCAATTGAGACAAGGGCCAAAGTTTGGAGAAACCGACGGGATCTTGGATTTCAAGAGTTTTTTCGACAAGGTTATTGTTTGGTGTGTGACGTGTGCTTTTCTTTTGCACTTGATGTGTTGTTTTCCCTCTTGTTCGTTGTGGGGTCTCCGATGTTTCATGTGTTTGGCTTTCCCCCACCTACCTCCGGTTCTGGAGGACAGCTTTCGGTTGCACGGTGGCGTTGGATGGCGCTGGTATCCACCTGATTTCACCTGTCGCACCCGTCAGACCTGATTTCACCCGTCAGAAGATGCGGTTTCTTCTGGGATTGGTCATGGAAGAAACCTGGTTCTGAACAGCTACCACAGCGTGACCATAGAGGGAGCATTGACGTGCTTTCTTCATCATGCTGTGCAAGAGGATCCGTTTTTGGTGCTTGATTTGACACCGGAGGCAAAATCCATTGGGCCAAAAGCCAGTCGTTCAGGTGTCGAGTTCGGGTAGAGTCGACCTGACCAGTGCTGATGCCTCTCGTGTTTTGAGTTGAAGGTAATTCAACAGGGTTGAACAACTTTGCTACTTTTGTGATCTACCAGTAGGGGTTTTACCCATGATGTAGCATTGTAGCATTTTGACGTGCCCTGCAGTCGTTTTGCCCCTATAGTTTGTAGGAAGCGTTGATGTTCTATCGGCTAAAAAGTGCTGAAACACCTGGTTCTGGCCACTGCCGCAGAGTTGATCAATCTTCCAGATACACGACTCGACTCCGAACAAAACTCAAACAACCAGCAGTCAGCAGATGTTCCACCAGAAATCCCACGAAAGACTCGCTGCCAGGCAGCAAACGAAGATGTCCAACATGTTCGTGGCTGGCCGATCGCAGGTCGGAGTCGAACTTATTCAACTATGAAGCTATATACATATATGATGATGCAATAACATAAATGGCCATGGGTCAAAGCCGGTGGACCTTGATCTTGAGATTACTAGATGTCATTTTGACAGCTCTTTCAAGAAGTAGCGCCAAGCGGTGGCAGATTCATATTCAGCCTGATTGCACCCCAGTACTACCCATCAAAGAATGGACTACCTGACAGGTCAACCAACCAGGGCTTGGAAGCCCCAAGTTTTGACCCACACCCAGATAGAAGTCGACATGGATCCAGATGGTCCAGTGCAGGATTGAATCTTGTTCGACTCTCCTACTTGTATCGACCTAGATTTGTCAAGGAGCCTTGATCAGGATCAAAGGAGTCAATCCTGAGGCGGGGAATCTTGGAGTCTTCGGGGCAAAGGAGCTGTGAAGCACAGTCCGCACAGCTGTCGAAAGTTGGAAAGTTCAGCCCGCTATCTCAGGGTTACCGTTTGTTTGACATAGAATCAGGGCCTCAAACGACATGGCCCCGCAGAAAAGGGCCCACCCCTCTGGAAGAAGAGGGTTCCCAAGAAAGCGGAAGTGGACAAGGAGAGAAGGCTCCTGAAAAATGGGAATGAATGGGGGAGTGTCCCAGCAAAGCAGCATTGATTTTCAGGTGATGGTGGCCTTGCTATAGGTTTCAAGCTGCCCAGTACCAAGCGTTCAGCCTAGGCAGCCCGGATAAAAAAAGAGGGGTTCTTCAGTTCTGGGGTCTAAAATTGTGTGATCAATCTTCATTTGTTCAGCCTCTCCTAATAGAAGAGGAAGTGAACTTGCGGAACTTGTTGTCAGTCGGGATTGGTCAGTTTGGCCAGTTTCCAAGAGAAGTCCATATTTCCCCCAGCAAAATGGCTTAACATGGTTTTTGCCTTTTGCCATTGCTTTTGTATGTGTTTCCATACTCTGTCGGTGCCCTTAAATTTTGGAATGCATGATATTCTTGGTTATTCTTGGGGGTGTTTTGCGCTCACCTTCCCACTATTGGGTTCCCCCAACTTGTGTTTGGTGTCCTTTGCCCATTTGCGGCGCGTTGTCTCACCGTGCTCTCGCCGATCAAGTTCTCTCCCTAATGGGGGAAGACACGCGACCTGCCAGAGGGCCCGTTTTTTTTGCAGAATCGGAGCGTGCGAAAAAATCGTGGCCGAGTCGGACAAACCAACGACCTGATTGGTTTTGGGATTTTCATGTTGTTTCCTGAGTTTGCACGTGTTATATATATATATATTTGTTTGTTAAAAAAACATAGGATCCACATAGGGATCCGCGGAGAAAAAAAGAACAAAGAACATTTTCGGTCACAGTTATTTCCTTTTGCAGAATTGTTCAAAGCAATTCATGTATATGAGCTATAGATGGTTATAGAAGTTTCAGTTTTGTCCTGTTACATCCTGTTACTGTTACTGACCTTCATGCAGGATTTATCAGCTTGACTTCTCAGTCTGTTACATCCACATAATCCCACCCATGTCCTTGTCCCCTTTTGGATCTGCTAACTCTCTGGTACTGAGCTCCAGTCCGGCTCAGGCTGCAACTGCCTCCTGGCGCGATCATCAAACAGGTGCCACGGAGCCTCCGTCGAACCCTTCACACGGCTCCAGCGACGCCACCCGCAACTCCAGCGACGCCACTGAGTCCCCGTGTGTCGTGTCTTGGAACGGAGCGGCGTTCGAAGGGATCTGAAGAGATCCACGAAGCCGGCGACGAAGCCGTGAGTCTTTCGTCGTCGACACGGAGTGAATGGAGTTGAGTACACACAGCAGAGTGAAGCCTTTTATCCAGGTCACCACCGCTGTACCCGATGAAAGGAACATGGCAGACCAGCTAATGGGTTGAACAGGCGTACAGGTCTGGCAAAGCTCAGCGAGTTTGAATCTACGGTGAGTCAAAACGGCCGTGAGAATGGCAGGTGCATGAGATTGAGGTCTCCTCGTCAGGTGCGTCTGAAATTGGTTGGAAGAAGGGAATTGGTCGGGAGAAGACCAGTAGATTTGTGGACAACTAGCGTTCCTTCCTGGCGGCAGGGCTTGCTGCTACAAGGGATTGTAGAAGCACTTGGGAAGCGATTGTTGTTGCCTAGGCCTATGTGCATGCGGCATGTGGTTTAAATGTTGATTGGTGATTTGTTGATTTGATTTTTGACGGTCCGTCAGTCATGTAGCATCTAGATGCATTTGGTTGATTTAGTAGAGTCAGTTCCAGTCGGTAGGCCCCTTTCTTACAAATCATGGCGACTGGTTTTTGAATTGTTCCTTTGTGTGGCCTTTGTAATAGTGATGATGATTAAGCGATATATATATAAAATTTATTGTAGAGCTTCGCACACCGGCGATGCCATAAGGGCTGTTGTTGCCCTTTTGTCCGATGTTGTCGGTGGTGTCTTGCAAAACCGTGTTGCAAAAACTGCTTGGCATTGGATCTTCTAAGGAGATCAATTGCATCAGAAGTGCCGGTATTGAAGCAGAGCTTCCAGGGCCTTTGGTCAGATAAGACGTCGTTTTGAACGCATTTGGCTTGAGGTCCTTTCAGGATTCGGGTGTGATAACAGTTAAAGTGAGAACAGTTAAAGTGACCCATATAAATACCTCTATATAGATGTGATATTTGTCCGGCTTTCAGATACCGCTGGTCCGCAGCCGTTGATGTTGTTGTTGCTAGTTTGTGTTGATGTTGTTGTTCTTGTTCTGGTTATTCTTGTTGTCGTCCTCGTCGTCGTTGTTGTGGTTGGGTTGTGGGTTGTGGCTGTGGCTGTGGTTGTGGCTGTTGTTGTTGTTGTTGTTGTTGTTGGCGCGCACCACAAGAACACCATGTTTGAAGCGGAGACCTGTGAGCCGCCACGCTTTTAACGCATCTCTGCTGGAAATCTACACTAAACAGTGCCAAAGGTCACTTCTGAACCCCTGTTATACATGATGTACTCTATCAAAAATGTACAGCCAGCGCACATCTAGTTATGTGACCTTATATTCCCTTGCCCGCTTTACCTCCCTGAAATCCGCTACAGCGGATAACTTCGTCCCGGTCACCTTGTGTTACCATCCTCCCAAGCTAGGTCTGATAGAATCCCGCATTGGTCAACCCAACAACACGTTTCCAGGCCATTGTGATGTACTGGAAACCATGATTTTGAAGACCATCAAACGCTTGACCGCCTGCCATTTCCTTACACTGCCTTCACCGCATCATTGGAAACCACGTGTTCTTTTTCTTCCCATCTTGCGATCGTCGTTCGTTGTGCGCAGATAGTGATACCTCGGGTGGCACAGCAGACCTGGCATGTTGAGCATAGTGGAGAGGCGCGCTAGGCACGGATGAATTGTAGTTCTTTTGTGGGGAGACTCGTTTTCCAGGCACCTACTGTACATGAATTGTCCACCAGAGTTCATGTTTGTTAGTTGCAGGAAATGCACATCAATCTACATTTGGGATTATTTGGGTGTTGTTCAGTCAGAGGATTTGACCAACACCCAGTCTGGACTCACATCCATTCTGTGCATAATTCAATCCTGTCAGTTGCTAATTACGGGAGAGAGAATCCTGTGCCATAAAAACATATATATGAGCTACTGCCAGTGAAGGGGTTGGTGGTGAAGACGACCTAGTCGGTTAACTCATGTTCTCAGTCGACTTGAAAAAGGCATAGGAAGAAGACCTTTCATTTTGACCACTGATGTTTTTTCCGGTACCCTCATCATCCACCTGACTTTCTTACCACGTTTCACCTGACACCCGGTATACCCAAAAGCCCCTCGCCATGGCTGACCTCGGCTGACCGGCCAAACACAGCCTGCCATCCGACGCCGAACGACTCTCCGCTCTCCGCTGCCAGATGGCCAGTAAGAAGAGTCGCACGCCCAAGCGAAGAGCCTGGAAGCGGCTGAGCATCACCGAGCCACTCGGAAGCGGCGGCGTCGAGCAAGCGTTGTCCGCACGCGAAGCGTATCACCGCGTCCGGGGAAGTCATCAGTGAGTGGGAGAAATGGAAGACACGGTCCGAGCGGCTCAGAGTTGGGGGAGGGAATGCCTCACTAGTTGCAGGACATATGATGTTGGATAGCCGATTGAAGACATAGAGAGCAAGGAATTTGCGGTCGGGACTTGATCTTAACAGCCATGTGGATATTTGGCCGGGATTCACTGAGTGTCTCAATGGTTCGACGGCCACACAGAAGACACTGGAAGCTGTTGTGTTGGACCTCCTTTCACTGAGGACAATGCCGGTGAGTCCGTCGAGTGCGCTGCAAATTGTCATCAACAACCCAGGGAAGTTGGAGTTGGGAAGCTTAACACCGTTGGAGCTGATGCGAATTCATTTGGTTGCGGGGTGCAAGGCAGCGGAAAGTCATGTAGAGGGTAGATGAGGGTGGAGGTTACTTGTTGGGTTGAGTGATCGAGGGTGGTGAGAGGGAAGGTAAGAGCTTTGGTTGTTAGGGGTGATAGGGGACATAAGCTGGTCATGAGATTTTGGCAATCAATAGTCAGCAGTCAGCCATCGAGGGATGGTTCAAAACCGTCGAATGGTTGATCGTTGGGAAGGGTAACAGTTGTTCTTTGGTGCAAGACTCGTATTGAGCAACTCCTTCTCTGGGGGGTATAATATCCTTGAGTGTTTCAGTTATATCTTTTGGGGTATGCCTACGTTTGGCAGCTGTTCCGGATACACATGAATGCTAGGAAATTGATCCACGGGCAGTCATGACATTATGGGTTCTACCATTATTTGGTTCTACCATGACAAGCAAATCGGATGGCTGAAAACAGAGTGTCGCTTTGATCAATTTCGAGGTCCTTTTACTCCTTGGACAAGGCCCGGCGAAGCTTGTGCAGAGGGAGGTGTAAGGCAATGAAATCCAACCTGTCCCTTCAATGATTGAAATTGGGCATGAACATATGACATTGCAGACCCCGTGTTATCCGCATGTCCCTGAAGTGGCAGCAAGCTGCAGTTGAAGATGTTGTGCAGGTGCTGGGTGCTTCTTGGTTGAACGGCATCAGTGAAGAACTCCTTTGTTTCAATCCAGACTCCCCCCAGAGATCTGCAGAGACAGAAACGGTGTCCAGGTTTCGTTTTATTCCGTCAAGAACCATCCAAATTTGATGTATGATGTAACACATTGTAATTAATATTTTTACGAATCTATAATGAATATATATATAGTTACGTATATAATATATATAACATTATATATATATATTAATAGCTGTACGTATAGGTGTATGTCTTTCCGTTTCGGGGCATGGCGAAGACCGTCGCCTCTGCTCAACCGCAGCCGTTTCCAACCGCTTCGTGGACCGGGGGCACCACAGAACCGACGATCCCGGAGGCCGGCGACCGGTTGGGGGGCGGGTTGGAGGCCAACGGCAAAGGAAGAGGAAGACGGCGAAGTAGGCCTGGATTTATCTATAATCTATTAAGTTTTGGGGTTGGAAGGCAGGCGCCCAACATGGCCCGACTTTCTGATTTGTGCGGCAGAGAACTGATTTCACATGTGTATCTTTGTGTATATATAGTAGTGAATCATCCATTTGTTATCCATCGCAGGTCAACACAGATGCCACAGCGGATCTCCTGCATCTCTCATGGTAGGCTCTCCCGAGTGGTTCAGAACTCATCATTTTGCCAACTAAGCTGGAGGTAAGTAAGGACGCAGCCAACAGGAATCGGCCGAAGAACATAATTCTGGTACATCCGGAACCAGTTTTGCATGTCAATCCAGCATGGGTTTTTCTTCGTCGCATGAGCAGATGTGCCTCGCTCCAGATGATGTCGCACTTTTTGCGCGTGCTGCTGATGCTCCCCGTGGCTGCCATGGGCCCGGAGCCCAGAAATGGGGTACTGTAGGTCGAACGGACGCCGGGCTGGTCAAATTCCAAATGTCCGAACCAGTATAGCATTCCACAAACATGAAACACCGGTCCGGATCCTTATATCCTTTTGGTCCAATATGTGGCGTTTTCTTTTTGCTCCAAGACCACTGTAGTGCTATTGATGGCTCCTAATTGTTTGGTCCTATATGATCGAAGGTGTGAAAGGTGCGCAAGGTGCAGGTCAGTGCCAGATCAGTTCCTACCCCACCAGAGCTGTTCTTGCACGGATTTCGGAGCCCATAAAATCCATAGCCATAAACCATCAGAAACCTTTGGCCTTCACATGCCTTCACATATCTGAAAGCCAAGAGCTTCTTCAGCCGGACCGCTAGCGCAGGTGCGAAGACCATCTACTGCTTCAGCTGCGTCACGCCCAACACCTATGAGGCACAGCCAGGAAATGAAGCCGGGTGTTTGGGTGTTGCTGGATACAAGTCCTAGGCCAAGAAGCTACTAGTAACAAAGGGCATTACTACTACTAGTAGCAAATAGCAGCCTTTGACCAACATTTTTCAAGTGAGTTGAAACCATCAACCGGAGGCTTGTTCATGCCTGTTGCAAAGAAATCGAGGGGTTTTGGATGGCAGCCAACTGGGCCCCAGCTCACCTTTGGTGCCCAGCTCACCTCAGGTCGGGATGCTGGCGGGCATGGCGAAGCTCGATCGCGGACTCATCGCTAGCGCGCGGGGGGCGGAGCGAGCGAAGGGACATGTTACGTGACAGAGAACATGGTCCTGACATGCGTGCCAAATGGAGAGACCTCAACCTATTCCTAATGAGTGTCCATGTTCATTCCAACAGTTGTCTTTATTTGACACTGGAGGTGTCTCAAAAGCCACAGGAAAATCAAACTGGCCACGGTATCTTGCACTTCCAACCGGGGGATCACCTTTCTTTGCCGTTGCGATCCTGTTTGGGGTTGGGACGTTCATCACGTCAAAGGGTTCCACTTTTTGCCTTTGGGTGCAGAGGAGAAAACAGAGGATGTTCACCAAGGTAACCATGGTATGATGGTTCAGATTCCCATCCATCCAGTTGGAGCAGTGCTTGGCCGGCGAGACGTTGGCGATTGTTTATGATTGTTTTCACAGATATCGGCGATGTCGGTGTCAAGGTTCAACATAAATACAACGTGGGCTTGGTTCCGCACAACACTGGGGCTGGTCTCGTTTGGATCATGAACCCTCATGAACCACTTTGAACCCTCATAAAGATCATAAAGCTAGTGGTATACCAACAGATGATGGGACTGAGTTGACGCTTAAGAACAGGATAGAAAAAAGGTGTGCACCAATGGTTGCTGAAAAGCCCGGGGACTGCCCATGCTTCGTTTCCTGGGGAACGGAGGAGGAGCAGACGGACTCCAAAATGGATAGTCTAGCAGGTTGTGGCCGTCGCCGTAGCTGAATTGTTGTTTATAATACGTAGTTTAGAAGGCCTTCTCAAGACCACCCCTACATGTGATGAAATGCAGTGGACGAAGTGACGAAGCGTTGTTCTTCATCTCAAAGACGATCCGATTTCTCCCCTGTGAACATTCTGACAGCGGAGAAGATCACCCGCTTTTGAGTCCCTCAGGAAGCTTCACCTTGGCATGTTCGAGTGCACAGACTATGATATCATCAGTACCATGGCGGACCGGTTTTGCTGGGTCAATTCCGGCAAGTCAGATCTTGGGGGCAATTCTTGTGGCTGATCTTGACAAAAGTGTGGACCCCTGCTTTTGGGTACGACATTGATCCAGTTATGTTTGAAAGTCATGTTGTACTGTTTTCTATCCTCAGATATAATTCCTCAAGTGTGGTGTGTGTGTGTGTGTGTTTGTTTGTGTTTGTGTTTGTGTTTGTACGTGTGTATGTGTCCGCGTGTTATTCCTTCATCTAGACATCAAACATATCCACATATATCTTTAACAAAAGCTCTAGCAGCGAGCAGCTCTAGCAGACCAGCTGAATGGCGCTCACAGAAGCCCAAAGACCTGCAGAATGCAGTGAAAAGAACGCCAATCCTTCACATCCTTCGCTTTTTTCCCCAACTTGCAAGTCTCGTGATCCCTCCCCCGTTTGTCTTCGTCTCGCCACCGAACAACCGATGCGTTCGACGGAGCAAAAGCAGAGCGGTGCAGAGCGGTCGAGCGCGCGGCCCAGGCAACGTCTCCGCAGAGGTGCTCTTCGCCGGGTACCCTGAGGTGCTGCCCATGTTGAAGGACCGGCTACAGTGGTTTCAGAGTAGATGGCGCAATCCCCAAAAGGTGGTTTACTGTACATGGACCCCCACATAAAAAACATCTTTTGGTTTGTGCCATCTATTCTGAAACATATAGCCTTCCGGACGAATGAAGTGTGGTGTGTCACGGCTGCAACAGCCGCGGCCCAAGGCAGCTGTTTGTGAAAACGCTGAGACATGGCCGTTTGGAAATGTGTTTTTGTTGGGAGGTCAAGATGCTTGGGTGTGTAAGTCCCAGTTTATAGCTGATAGGCTGATGGTCCCAGATGGCCCGAATGGACACTTGTTGCATGCAGTCGGCCGATGGGCGCTTGCCCTGGTCGGACCACCAGGACCATGTTCACACCATCGACATGGACCTCTATGCAGCGCACTTGGAGAGGGCTAATGGGCACAAAACCATGAGCAACCTGATGTATTTACGGAAAGCTATAGTAGTAACAAATCAACAGCGGAAGGCTCATATACACACAAACAGTACCGTTCATCACAATCACAATTGCCAATCTGTGCAAGTCAAACAGAAACAGAGCAAAAACATACGTGCGTCATGGCGCTTGATAGGTATATTAGACGGATAAGATATAGTTGGGCCCCGGGTGGGCCATCGGGTTCATTGGATTGGTGGGCCATCGGGCTTGGCTGAGCCCACTTGCCCCATCTCCTTCACGGGCGTGTGACATAGTCACCAGACACGGTCGAATTCACCGGAGGGACCAGCTGCTTGAAGAGATACCATATGATAACCGTTAACTGATTCTTGTGAACATCAACGGATATCCAAGGGAACCAGGATAGGTGGTTCAAGAACCAAGGTTTACAATGGGTTGGTTGGTGACATGAATCAACATGCGCGTGTTCCCGAATTCTCATGGAAACTGGGCTGAACAACCCAGAGCCCAGCCGTGCCCCATGCCCCACGGACTCTTCGAGCGGTCATCAGGTGAAGAAGGTGAAGGGACCCATAGGCGCATTCCGACATCAGGGCGCGCCTGGCGCGGGGTTTGGAGTCCACGTGTTTTCGCGGGTTTTGTGAGATGGAGACACCCAACCCGACCAATGGGTTTGAGTCTTCTAGTCAATTGTCCTTTCTCCAGGCGGGTCTTTGCAAGGTCTCCCTATTCTGATACATACCCACATCAACCCCCAAATATATATGGCAGTGGGTCAATACCTTACTCTACAAACCATGCTTTCGGTTGACATCCCGAACATAGATTTCTATCTGTTCAATTGACCAGTGGTCAACCAGGGTCCCCCGGTTTGGACCCTCTTCCATGTATAATCATATATAATCATATCATATATATATACACTGCATACATGTATATATATATATATTATATATTACCAGCACCCTCCAAGAGGTCTCCGACATGGAGGATTGTTAGGCCCTCCAACAGGTTTCAATTGGTGACATGTGAAGTCGGTGCTGGTATACGGATGTACCATATCATGCAGCTACATCTGTTCAATCGTGAGAACCGAGGTCAGGTCGTTGCGACACGACATGTGCGACTCGTGCGATCTTTGATTCAGGGCCTCCAGTGGTCCAGCCAGGTAGGTGCTATGTCGGGCCTTTTTGGTCCGGCCTTAGCCTGCTTCAGGGTCTTAACATGTCAGACCTTTGTCTCATAAGGAACACCTGCTTTCCGGACTAGAGCCGGAAACCATCGTCGGTAGCGTCTTCATCGCTTCCAGGTGGCCAGGTGG